GCCTACCACCTATGCCCAGGGCTTGGTGGCCTCGAGGACGCGAAACACCTGCCTCCTCCACGCCTGCTGCAGAGTGGCATGAGATATGTTCTTGTCCCAGACCAGGAGGGCCCACTGGAAGACGGGTTGGGTCCAACAAGCAATCTGAGGATCCTCGGAATGAGTGCCCTGGAGACAGGAGGTGATCCATGATGATGTGGAGGCTCCAGGGGTGTACCACGTGCTTATCATGAGGCTCCGCATCTGACGCACGAGAGAGGGTGGAGCGCCATGCACTCCAACTCCATACTGCATAGCCGACGGCAACGCCTGTCGTGCATACCGTGAGACCACAGCGCCAGCCTTCCGAAGGGTGGTGATGCGGGGGAGTCGTCTCTTGGTGGTTAGAATGCGACACCGAAGTTTACGATATCGAAGCGGTCGTCCTGCTGCGACTCCTATTCCCGGAGCCTCCAATGCCGTGGTATATCGATAACCGAGATGTTTTACCCTGCCCTGTACGACTCGACCGATCTTGGGACTACTCGATGTGATGGTCATTTTGTGGGTGGCGGGGTTAAGATCCATCCCTTCCAAGACATCCACCAAAATAGTCAACATCTTGACAGCTGCTTCAAGAAGCATAGTAGCCGTCCCCATGATCGCTATCATGACGTCGTCGGCGTACAGATCAATCGTCTTCGAGATATGCGCAGTGTGCTTAAATAGGAAGTCGAAAGGGGTTAGCATGATGAGCTGCAGGCAAAGCATCGCCATCGGACAGCCTGGCAGAACGCCCCTTGTCGCCCATACTGGGCGCGAGAGGCAGCCTTCCCATGAGACACGTCGTGCGCCCATGTACGTCCTCACGGCGAGGACAAGCAAGCGACCTGGAAAAGAATGCACGACAGCCGCACCTATCAGTCGCCTCCAGGGCACTCGATCGAAACACTTCTCGATATCCACAATAGCTTGCACTGTGGTGTGGCTGTCGGCATTCTGAATAGATGCGGCTTCAGCCTGCACTAGAAGCCGCGCTGCAACATGAGTTGTGGACTTCTGCGCCCACAGTGCCAAATACGGTCTCCCCAGACTGGATGCCCAAGACCGTATCCAATTGAGCCTTGCATTGCCCCATAATCGATATACCGAACTCAGCAAGGCAATAGGACGGTATCCTCCTGTGGGTTTGGCTAGGAGGACAATGTGGGTGTTCTGCATGAGCGTAGGCCAGACACCCCAGGACTCACAGGAGGAGGAGGAGGAGGAGGAGGAGGAGGAGGAGGAGGAGGAGGAGGAGGGGGAGACGGGGGAGGAGGGGGAGGAGGAGGATACTCGGCGGCAACCCATGGGGGCCTCCCATACCATCTCGTCGGCTCTTGCGAATCCAAGCTAGTGGACGCCGAGTCGACGCTAGTCGACGCTTAGTCGACGCTGCATCGACGGCGCTACCTCATCGACTCCCAGACCTGCAGTCGAGGCCCAGCGGCGCCTGAAGACGGAAGGAAAAGGGCACGCGAGGCCCCCATGCTCTGCTGCCGAAGAGGAGTGGTAGTGGCGTAGATCTTTGGGCCCTGCACGAGAGCTTGGGGTCCCGAAACGGTGCGGTGACAGACCGTGCGGTGACCTCGAAATCCCCCAAGACCTCACCGCACGGTCCGTCACCGCACGGTTTTGGGACCTCGCCCGAGACGTCCTCAGAGAACGACCCGAGTCCCAAAACCGTGCCGTGACCCCGAATCCCCACCGACTCACTGCACGGTGTGGTCACCGCACCGTTTGGGGGCCCCCGGGAGAGGGCCCGCGAGCCCCGAGCGCGGCCGGGGTCCTCCCGCGCCGGGCAGCCCCCCATCCGGGCGCAGCCGCGGGGGGGGGCCTTTCTGCCCGCGGCCGGCGGCCCGCGGGAGGGGCCTGTGGCCCCCTCGAGGGGCGAGGGGCGGCGGCGGAGGCAGCGGCGGCCACGGCCGCGGCCAGGGCCCAGCGGAGAGCTCGCGGGCAGGCACGTGCACAGGCAGAGGGGCCCGGTATGCACACAGATAGATAGCCACAGAGCCCAGGGCGCCCCACCTTTCCCCATGTTTTCGGGGCTTTCTCGTCTTCCCCCCCGCTTCCCATCTAGTTACTTCCCCCTATTTTCCTGGGAGTTGCCGGTGAATTGTGTCTGTGTGTGTTTCCCCCTCCTGACAATGGCCTGGAGAGAGGTTGAAGCCTCAAATCGAAAAGTCTCACTGCAAGTTGGATGGGATGTGAAGGGTGGAGGACATGCGGTGTACCTCTTTTGGTGGTGGTGGGCGCATGGTGCCCACCTTTGGTTCTAGGAGGGCCTATGGTGCCCCTCGGTGCCCACCCCGCTGCGGGGGGGTCACGATCCCTTACACCGAGGCAAACATGCGATCCCAAAGGGGCCGTACGCGAGACGGCGTAGCGACCTTAGGCGGCGGCTTACACGGGCCGCCGGCGCGGCACGCTGTATTGGAGACCAGGGCGCTTACGCGAGAGCTTACGCGGGCAGCTTCCGCGCCAGTGTCGGCGCAGGCAACCCGAGTTCTCTGCATTGCTCGTGTGCTTTGTCCTGCGTTTGAGAGTAGGCATTTGCGAGCAGTGGAACGCGCTCGGTGAGTCAGGGGGGGATGCCCTGAGAACCTGGCGTCGCAACTTTCTTGCAACGGGCAATCGGGACAGGAGAGCTGCGTACATTGGAACATGAGGTGGCGGATGAGCAGGAAGGATGAGCAGGAGGAAAAGAAGAACGATGAGGAAAGAAGAGAACGAGGACGCACAGCAGCAGCAGCTGGAGTAGAAGGGGCGGGAGTAGCAGGAGGACCACGGAAAGGCGGAGGATGGGAAAGGAAGTGGGCGACAACGGTGAGAAAGACTCGGATCCAGAGAATCCGCCGACCCTGCAGCGTGTGTAAGAGGCTTTTCCGTTTGAGTCTTCGTCGTCGCCGTCGCCGTCGTCATCCTCCCAAGGAATTTGAGGAACAAGGGACTTCAGGAACGTCGTACGAGCGCGTTTCTTTATCTTCAGCGATAACGGGCGTTATGCGGGGGGGGACGGGGGGGAGGCACAACGTAACGCTCCCCCACGCCGTGCGGTTCCGGCGCCACCACAGCGTCTGCGCGCACGACGACGACGAGCGACGACGACGACGACAACGACGACGACGACGACGAAGACGACGACGGCGACGACGACGACAACGACGACGACGACGAGCGACCACGACGACGAATACGACGACGATGACGGCAACGAAGAGCAAAGGCGACGACGACGACGACGAGCGACGACGACGACGACGAAGACGACGACGGCGACGACGACGAGCGACGACGACGACGACGACGAGCGACGACGACGACGACGACGACGACGACGACGACGACGACGACGGCAACGACGACGAGCGACGCCTCCGGAGGTCTCCGGAGCTTTCCCGAAGCCTCTGGAGGCCTCCCGGGGCCCCCGGAAGCGTCCGGAGCGCCGTCCGGAGGCCATATCCGAAGGCCTCCAGAGGCCCTCGGAAGCATTCGGAGGCGCTTGACAACGACGCGCGACCGCGAGTTATGACGACCGACGACAACGATGACTACGACGACGACGACGACGACGACGAAGATGACGACGACGACGACGACGACGAGCGACGACGAGCGACGACGATGACGACGACGACGACCACCGACAACGAGAAGCGACGACGACGACGACGACGACGACGACAAGCGACGACGAGCGACGACGAAGACGACGACGTCGACGACGACGACGACTATGACGACGACGACGACGACGCAGACGACCGACAACGAAGAGCCACGAGGAGTAGTGGCGAGCACATGCCTGCGAAGGTGTCGTTACCTCCACGTGGAGTATAAGATGTATGCTCCTTGCCTCCCTCCTTCATCCTCATCGTCGTCGTCGTTGTCATCGTCGTCGTCGTCGCTCGTCGCTCGTCGCTCGTCGCTCGTCGTCGTCGTCGTCGGCGACGGCGGCGGCAGCGGCGGCGGCGGCGGCGTCGGCGGCGTCGTCGTCGTCGTCGTCGCAGTCGTCATCTTCGTCGTCGTCGCTCTTCGTTGTCGGTCGTCTGCGTCGTCGTAGTCGTCGTCGTCGCTCTTCGTTGTCGGTCGTCGTCGTGGATCCCTATGCAAATCCCTATGCGGATCCCTATGCAGATCCCTATGCGGATCTCTATAAGGATCCCTGGGAATCTTGATGCGGAAATCTATGGGGATCCCTGTGCGGTTGCCTATGCGGATCCCTTTTCGGGTTCCTATACGGATCCCTTTGCGCATGGCGGCAGTGCCGGGGGCGCACTGGGGGCCAGAGCGTAATGTTATAGGGGGGGCGGGGGGGCCATAACGCGCGTTATGACCCAAGCAATGAAGAAACAGGCTCTACTGAAGTCGAAGGGACGCCCATTCTCTTTGAACCATTCCCTACCAGGGGTGGGGGTGGTTGGATGGGGGGAGTTCCTGGGTCAGAATACCACCCCCCCGGGGCGAGGGTGCCAGCGTTAGTAGCCAGCGCTGGGGCGAGGGTGCCATTCTGAATGACGGGAGCAAAGCGCCGATATTCAAATGAGGCCCACGCTGCAGCCGGAACAACAGCTTGAAACAACGACAACGAAAACAATCGGACAAAAAACACATAAGAGGAATCAACTTGGCCCAATCCTATGTAGAAAAACGGTACGACGAGAGGGCCAGGCATCTTCCGGACAGAGTCAGGGGAGAGAGTAGTATTCCTACACATCTAGCGTCTCGATTCGAATGCGGGACAACGACTTCTCGACCACTTCCCCAGGACCAATTTCTCATCCCAAGTCGTTTTTTGACGCTCCCGAGGACCGGTGTAAGGGCCCCGAGAAGCCGAAAACGACGAACACAGACGCTGTCCCGATTTCTTCGAGACGCTGGATGCCTGGGCTCATGGTTGGTAACTGCTGGGTCCTGGTCGAGGGGGAAGGAGGGGACGGGATTGGCAGGAGGAGGAGACGGAGGTGCGAGGCAGAGAGGCGGTGACGCCGGCGGCACTCGGCAGCATGGTGGGCACACGTCGGCGCACCCAGCCGCCCCCGCGCCGGGCGCGGACGCGCTTCGGCGACACGCAAGGAGTGACCCCAGGCAAGAGTCGCCCTTGGTGCGCGGCGTTTTGGAGACCGCGGGGGGGCCGAACCGCAAGACGCTACCATCGCACCGCGCTCGACGAGCGGGGGACCCCGTTCGGCCCGCACCAAGGTCACTCCAGCGACAGGTCCTCTCACGTGCAGTCGACGGCGGCACTCGGCGGCCTGGTGGGCGCACCTCGGCGCACCCAGCCGCCCGCGCGCCGCGCGCGGCCTCGCGCTCTCCGCGGCCTCGGCGGGGAGGCCCCCCGCAGCCAGCCGCTGGTCGCCGCTCGTCTTCGCCGGCCGCCGTCGTCCATCGCCGCCGGCGTCGCCGCCGCCAGCGTCGCCGCCGCCGTCGTCGTCGGTCATCGCCGCCTTCGCCGTCGTCACCACCATCGCCGCCGTCGCCTCCGTCGCCGCGGTCGCTGGTCGTCGGTCGCCGCCGTCGCCGCCATCGCCGTCGATCGTCGTCCGTCGTCGTCGCCGCCGTCGCCGCCGCCGTCGTCACAGCCGTCCAATCAGCGAGACCTCGGGGCCAGAAAGGCAGCGGGACCAGCGCGGCATCGGGACCGGCACGGCATCGGGAGGCTGCTGGGCGGCTGGACTGACAACGTTGAGGCCAGCTCGGTCGCCAGCTAGCATTGCCGACCAGCTTGCGCCCGCGCCTGGATGGCCTCGAGCTCGCATTCGAGCTCGTCGTCCTCCAAGAACGACGCCGAGTCGTCGCCGCTTCGGAGCGCGAGGGCGGCATCGCCTTGGAAGAGCCAAAACCATCGTCAGCTCAAACTTTCGGAGCTCCGGGCGGAGCTCCTTGGATCAGCGCTGTTGGCGGCGCCTCCAGCGCGGCCCCTTGCGCGCTCCGCAACGCAGGGGAGGGTCGTGAGGAGGGGGGCCCAGCGCCGATCCAAGAGATCCGCGCGGAGCTCCGTGCCGTCTTCTCTTTTTCGTTCCTCGCCTTCTGCCCCCCGGCCGCCGCCCAGCGCCAGGTGGGCCCCGAACTCGTCCACCACCCTGCACTCGTGGATCACCTATCGATGCTCCTCAAAGCGTGTGTCAGCGCCAACGTGTGCTTGTACGATACGGGCGGTGTACTGAATGCAGGCTGACACAGACCTGGTGCTGACGGTGGACAGCGAGGTAAACACACATTTGGGCTAACACTGAAGGCCTCCGAGATGGGGTCCTAGCAGATGGGGCCAGAGGATCGCGCCGCATCGCCGATGCATCGCCGATGTGTCGGCGCCATCGGCGGTACATCAGCGACGCCAGCGCGGAGCAAATCAGCCTACACATCGAGCCGCATCGGCGATACATCGGCGATGCAGCGCTATCCTCAGACCCCACCTGCTCGGACCCCATCTGGGAGGCCTCGAAACACACTCGGCTACACGCAAGAGCCCTAGGCAAGAGTGACCTTTGGTGCGCGCCCTCAGGGGGCCGCGGGGGAACCAAACCCAAGCGCGCAATCCAGTGCCTGGGGGGACCCCCTTGGGCCCGCACCAGGTCACGCCGGCGAAGGTCACTCATACGCGTATTGGCGGCGCGCAGAAGGGGGTAGGGGGAGGGGGGAAGGCTTCCCAGAAGGAAGCTGCTCCTTAGAAGGCGCCGGCCATGCATCTGTAGACAGGGCCCGCGCCTTCTTAGAAGCAGGGTGCATCTGAGAAGCCTTCCCCACCCTCCCTACCCCCTCTGCGCGTAACCGAGCGTAGCCGATGCGCGTGCTGAGGATCACCGAACCTGCCAGGGCGCGCCGATGGCGTCGCTGTGGAGCGGGTCGTGCTCGTCGCTGAAGGACGGCACGGCGGCGGACAGCGGCAGCTGGCTGCCCGCCCCGTCCGCGCCCAGCGCCGCGGCGGTGCGCCCGCCGAGCGCCCTCTGGCGGGCAGCCTTCTGCTTGCAGCGGGGCTCCGGGCGGTGGTCGTTCTCGTCCAGCCCGTCCGCCCTTCTCTCGGCGGCACGCAAGAATGACCCTGGGCAAAAGCGGCCCCTGGTGTGAGGTCAGACATGTCCTCCTACAGGCAGGTCTTGGACGGAAACACAAAACTACCCAAAGATAGTCCAAAAATGGTCCAAAGATCGTCCCCTCACTGATTTTGGACTGGTTTGGGATACTCCCCCTGTAGAGGGACATGCCCAATTTAACCCTGGTGTTATGTCGGGCGTGTCCCCCTACAGGGGGATTTTCGACGAAAAATGAAAAATAGCCCAAGAATGCCCCCAAAAAGGCCAAACAATACTCAAAAAATAGTCCCCAGACTATGTTTTAACTATTTTTGGATGATTTTTAAAGTATTTTTGATTTTTCGTCTAACCACTGGTGCGCAGCCCTGGGAGCCGATGCAGGGCGGGGCCCGTGGCCCGCAGCAGAGCTCGCGCGGGCGAAGGTCACTCCTGTTTTGAAAGCTGGGCGAGGGCTGCTGAAACCGTGGCTGCTAAAACTTTGGACGCCCGAAATGGGCACGGGGCCAGGGGCGTAGTGAAATAAGAAGAGACGCCCTGAAACTCGGGGGAACTATCTTGGCCCCCGCCATGAGATCCACCCCCCTGGTCCTCACCCCCCTCTCTTTGGACGCCCGAAATGGGTACGGAAGAAACGGGCACAATGCCCAACAACAAATGTTGTCCCAAACCATCGGCGGCCGCTGTTGGGCAGGCGGCCTCCCGTCTCAAACGGACACGGGTCGCGGCGGCGCGGACAGCGAGTCCTGTTCACAATGAACAGGAACTGCTGTTGGGCATTGTGCCCATTCTTTCCGTACCCATTGCGCTCGTGCAGAAAAACGGCCCTCCCGGAAAGAAAAACAACTTCCCGGGAATGAGGCGCGTCACGCGAAACAGTCAGCGGGCTTCTTCCCGGAAGGACGAAGACAACTTCCCGGAGGTCGATTTTAGCAGCCACGGATTTGGCAGCCCTTGCCCGGCTTCCGACTTGTGCACAGCCGACCTTCTGACGACGCGGTCCAGCCACAGGTACCGATCCTCCACCTGCGGGGGTAGAGGCCTCCTAGACGGGCTCGGAGTAGAATGGGGTCGGAGGATCGCGCCGCATCGCCGATGCATCGGCGATGCATCGGTGATGCATCGGCGATGCATCGGCGAGGCACCAGCGATGCATCGTCGACGTCAGCGGTGCACCGGCGACGTCCGCGTAAAGAAAATCGAGCTCCGTATCGAACCGCGTCGGCGATGCATCGGCGATACATCGGCGACCCTCCGACACCGCCTACTCCGACCCCATCCAGGAGGCCTGGAGGGGAGCCCTCCCCAGTCGAGCGGGCCTGCGGAGCCAGAGGACCTCGCGCCGCGCCGCCGCGCCGCACAAGGCGGTGCCTTGGGCGACGGCGGGGCGGAGGAGATCGGACTCTGCACCTGGCCGCGTCGCCGATCCGCCCTGGGACGCACGGAGACATGCCGCACCGTATGTCCCCTCCTGGGAGGCGCGCGTGCGACCCAGCATGGTATGGTCCTCTTGTAGCACACCGCGTCCCGAGCAGCGTGGCTCAGGAGAGCCCGCCACGACGCGAGTGCTGTGAGAGTTCTCGGTGCGCGCGCCGCCCCCCGGGGCGGGTGACGCACACAAAAAAAAAAAAAAAGAGCAGCATGGTTGGGGTGACGCCGGCGCCCGTCTGCTCCAGCCCCGTTGGCGAGGCCCGGGGCCTGCCCGCGCAGGGCGCGCTGGCTCGACAGGATGAGCCGCGCCTCCTCCGGGGGAGCCAGACAAAGGTCCTGGCCCCGCTGCTGCCCGGGGAGCTCTCCCGGGCTGCGCTCGGACCTGCATGTCGAGGCGACTGGCGACGAGGGCCTCCCAGGAGGCCCAAGAAAGCGAGGAAAGGGTAGAGGTATTGGTGGGCTTGTTTTCCACCACCACCACCATAAGCAGGAGGGGGAGGGGGTCCTCCTCCTCCTCCTCCTCCTCCTCCTCCTTCCTCCTCCTCCTCCTCCTCCTCCTCCTCCTCCTCCTCCTCCTCCTCCTCCTCCTCCTCCTCCTCCTCCTCCTCTCCTCCTCCTCCTCCTCCTCTCCCTCCTCTCCTCCTCCTCCTCCTCCTCCTCCTCCTCCTCCTCTCCTCCTCCTCCTCCTCCTCCTCCTCCTCCTCCTCCTCCTCCTCCTCCTCCTCCTCCTCCTCCTCCTCCTCCTCCTCCTCCTCCTCCTCCTCCTCCTCCTCCTCCTCCTCCTCCTCCTCCTCCTCCTCCTCCTCCTCCTCCTCCTCCTCCTCCTCCTCGTCCTCATCCTCATCCTCCAACTCCTTCCCCCCTCCAACTTATGGTGGTGGTGGTGGAAAACAGGCCCAGCAGGTCTGGGTACCTTTTCCTCCTCTGATGGTCTGCTCCTCCAGCCGTACGACCTCCAGCAGCACGCAGTGGCCGGGCTGCAGAAGCCCCTCCAGGGTGTCGCCGGCCATGCCCGCCTCCGCCGGGCTGTAGATCGTGGGGAAAGGCCGCCGCTCGCTCGGGATGTCTCGGCATCGCCGGACCTACCCTTGGGACCCAGACGCCCGGGGGTCAACGTGTTTTCTTAGTCGGCATTTCGACATTCGGCGACGACGACGACGACGACGACGACGACGAAGACGACGACGACGACGACGACGAGCTTCCCCGAAGGACGACGTCGTTGAGCAGGCGAGCCAGGACGAGGACGAGGAGAAGGGAAAAAGGAGGACGGCTGAGGCAGGTGAACGTTTTCTTATTCGGCGATTCGACATTGGGCGAAGGGGGGAGGGGGGTCTTGCTCCAGACCTCTGCTTAATGCGACTGTTTGCAACAGTGCGTCCACCTGCTTGAAACAGGCGCCAAAAACAGCCAAGATATACTCCATGGGGGAGGCGGGGGGGTGCGAGGGCCCGCGCCGATCGGCAAAACAATGAATCAAGAAAGGATCACTGGTGAAAAAATCGTGACGGGAAATATTCAACCATCTTCAGCCCTCCGATGCCCTCGCCGCGCCCCTCGCCCGTCAGAAAGCGCCTGGGCATGAGGAGCCAGTCCCGGGGAATGGGTGCAGACCTGTGGGGGCCAACGTCATGGGGAAATTATGACGTCGGGGGTCTGGTAGGCACCTCCTTCGATGCCTTCCTGAGAACAAACAAAGGCTGTGGACTACGAAGCCAGATTCGAGCGCCACAGCGCCACAGGGTTGAGCTGAATTCAGCCAGGCTAAACGGAATTAAGCGGTTAAACTGAATTATGCTGGATTACCCCTGACCTCTGGCGTCTCGATTCTACCGAGACACGGGCCCCCGACTTCTCGACCACTTCCCCAGGACCAGTGCTTCATCCCGAGCGGATTCTAGCGGTCCCGAGGCCCGGGGAGGGCCCCGAGGGGCCGACAACAAAAAAAACTCCGCCTCGACTTGTTCGAGACGCCGGATGTCTGGGAGGTTCGTTCTCGACCACGGCCTCCCCGGAGTGGCATCCAAACATCCCCCTACCCTTAGGTCGGGCAATGTGCTCCTGCGGGCGGACCGTGAGGGAAAAACGGCCAATCGCCATAAAGAAAACTCAAAAATAGTCGGCTATCGAAAAGTCGCCGGGCCGTGGGCCAGGGCTCTCCCCTCCGTGCCACGAACCTGCCCCCTCGAGGTGGGGATGGGGGTGCCGCGAGGCTCAGCGAAGACTGCAGCTGACCTTCGGTCGGGCATGTCCCCCATGCAGACAGATTTTCGAGGAGTCATAAAAAATAGTTTTAGAAAATACCCACAAGTAGTAAGCATAGTTTACGCAAACTTACAAATAGCCATAAATAGGGGGAAATAATCGTCCCCTGGCAATCACTTGACTATTATCGAATATATTCTTCCTGTAGAAGGACATGCCCGACTGAAAGCTGACCCCACCCCAGGGGGGCAGGTCGGACGGCGGGGCCAAGCCTGCCTGGGGGGAATGGGCACAGGTGCAGCGATGCCGACTGTCCATGACGACACGGATGCACGCCTCGTCGGTATCCTGACTACCATCCAGACCACCCCAACCCAACCCGAAGACCCGAATTTCAGGTTGGGGGGGGCAAGGGTTCCACATGTTTTTTTTCGATGGTCCCGACCCCTCCCCCACTGGAAATCGAGGGTAAATCTGAGCCTTCGGGTTGGGTTGGGGTGGTTTGGTGGGTGGCGATATCCGCGCTCTCACCGGGCTGGGTGCGCACGCAGTCGACCACGTTCCACTCCTCCCAGAACGCCTTGTCCGCGCGGAACAGCTCCAGGATCACGTCGTACCTGGAGATCCCCGGCGGTCTCCGGGGGCCTGCCCCTGGAGGCCGCCAGAAATCCCCCGAGGCTGCCGAACACGTTCAGAAGACACTTCCTCCTCGACCGCCTGCTCCCGACCGTTGGGCGTGGCTCAATGGGGGGGTCACGAAAGGGGGGGGGTCGGAAACGATCCCCTGTCGTGCCCCTTTCGGGCCCCTCCGGAGCCCCAGGGGGACTCGTTTAGGTACCGTCTGGGTACATTTTCGGACCACCCTCGGCAGCCCCCCCTCATTTTGTGACCCCCCCATGACGCAACGCCCGAGACCGAGGTACTGGAACGCCTCCGGCGGGGGCAGCGCGCCCTTGCGGAGGCCGCCCAGATGGGGCCAGCGCAGCCGGGGTCGACGGATCGCGCCGCCTCGCCGACGCATCGGCAGTGAGTGTATCAGCGACGGCGGGATGAAGGTCGGACTCTGGATCGAGCCGCACCGCCGACGCAGCGGCGATGTGGCGCAATCCTCTCCGCCGACGCTGCTCTTTCTTCGCGACGTCAGCGCCCGGAGATCTCGACCACTCTCCCCGGGGCCTCTGCTCCCGAGTGACAAATCTTCGTCGGCAGGAAACGGCCCCCACAGGACGGAAACGATGCGAAACTGGCCGCCACGAGCTGTGCTGCAGCGCCGGGATCCGAGGGGCCTCCGACCTGCGTCTTTTCAGGGGCCCAGGGACACCCAAATGAAGAGACACAAATCACAGGATTCCCCATACTTGCCCATAATTTCTGGGTTTCTGCCTTCCCCTTCACTTCCCACATGTTCCCATATATTCTGGGGAATCGACATCTAATTGTGTCTGTGTGTTTTTGCCCCCTCCTGAGTCTTGGAAACCACGGTCTGCATGAGCACAACCCTTCGGATGTCCGCGCGGACTTCCCGCGTCGGCGCCGGGCCCCCATATCCGCGCCTCCCCATGGCGCGCAAGACGGGCGCCAGAGGGGGGGGGCCCCGAGCCGATCCAAGAGACCCGCGCAGACCTCCGCAAGAGTACGTGTGTGCAGGCTTGCTCTCTTTTCGGCGTCCTCCGCCGGCTTCGATCGGCGGAGGCGGCCTCGTTCTGCTTGCGCCGACTTCCGCCCGCCCTCCGCGGACGGGATGCCAGTCGCTGATCCTCGAAGGCGAGGCCCCCTCTGAAGAGCCCCGCGTGGCGCGGTACTCCGAACGCCGTCTGCTGATAGGAGTGGACCAGCTCAAGAGTGTAAACGTCGAGCTGGAGCTGGCGATGCATCGCCGATGGATCGGCAGAAAAGGTCCCGATAGCAGAACCCCACGTTCAAGGGAGGGGTGGGCTGCCGGGCCGCTATCGGCGATGAATGGGCGATTGGCGGTCGCTGCATCCCCCCTGATGAGCATCATTGAACCGAATTGGCGATCGCTGCATTCCTCCCTGATGAGCATCGCTGAACCAATCCCTATCTCCACTGGCGTGGCCTGGGCCCCACTGACCGATGTATTCCCTGTAGATGGAGGTATCGGCTGCTCCTTTCGGATTTCCAAGGGCCTATCCCCAACTGGTGTGGTGGGATGGTGGGGCTGAGATGCCATGGCCCGGCGGGGATGGGGTAGCTCCATCGATATCGACCTGAGCCCACCTCCCCCTAATGTCATGTAAATTAGAACCGAATTCCAGCAAGGTAAGTTCAAGCATCATTCCAGTACACATCATGGTCCATGCAAAAGTAAGTTAGAACATCATCCGAATGGTCCGAGCCAAAGTATGTTAGAACAACATTCCAACAAAAGTCAACTGCAAATTTCATGCACCCCTAAAATTAATTTCACACTTACATCTACAAAATATGTAACATGTTCCGTAAATATACTGGGTGTTCTGTGTACTTTTCGAAAACTCGACGGCAACATCAACTTTTGAGGTAAATCGATTATGTAGCCGATACCCTATCCGAGAATCACGACCCTAAAGTGACTATCGTTGAAGGCCTTCGATGCTTGGGGTAGTGGGAGGAGAAGGAGGGGAAGGATGAGGAAGAGAAGGAGGAGGAGGAGGAGGAGGAGGAGGAGGAGGCGGGGAGGGAGGAGGAGGGAGGAGGAGCAGCAGAAGGAAGAGGAGAAGGAGGAGGGGGAGGGGGAGGGGGAGGGGAGAGGAGGAGCAGAAGCAGGAGGAGGAAGATGAGAAGGAGGAGGAGGGGAGGGGGAGGGGGAGGGGAGGGGGAGGAGGAGGGGAGGAGGAGGAGGAGGAGGAGGAGGAGGAGGAGGAGGAGGAGGAAAAGGAGGAGGAGGAGGAGGAGGAGGAGCCCCCGCTCTGCTCCTGGCGCCATTTGGGGGGCCTCCTGGCCCTGTCGCCCTTCTCCGCCGCCGCGCGGCCCACGCCGAGGGTCCGCCAGGGCGCGTCCGGGTTCACGGAGCCGCGCACCGCGGGGGGCCTCGCGCCCGAGCTCAGGCTGGGGGCCACCACGCCGCTCCGCATGGCCGCGCGGCGCGCCGCCCTCGGCGGCTCGGGGGGCCCCCGAGCGGGGGGCGGGCGGGGGACAGCGGCGGGGCCCGCGGCGGCGAGGGGCGGGGTGGGACAGCCGAGGCCGAGGTCCTCGGGAGAGTGTCGGCCTCGGCTCTCTCCCCCCTCCCCCCCTCCTCCTCGTCCTCGTCCTCCTCCCTCCCCTGCGCGGACCGTCCAAGAGCTCTGCTTCGGCCGTGGTTTGTGTTCGCGCACTGGGGAGGGACAGGCGGAGGGGGCAGGATCTCAGACATGGCGCGAGCGCGCCCAGCTTGCCCCTGCCCCTCGACCCTCCTCCTCCTCCTCCTCCACCTCCTCCTCCTCCTCCTCCTCCTCCTCCTCCTCCTGCTGCTCATTCTCCTCTTCCTCGTCCTCCTCTTGCCCCAGTTTCTGCGGCCGAAGTTTTCGGACATTTTCGTTGGTCCTCGCCGATTCTCCAGCCTCGGGATCTGCGCCTGGCCGGGAGCAACCCGGAGGGGGCATAGAGCGTCCCGGACGGCCGCCAAAAACCCGATTTCAGGCCGCAACCCGAAAACCGAAGGGCGGGGGAGACCCCTGAGATCTGGGCGTGACATTTGTTTCACACCATGCGTTCTCGCCCAGTTTCGAGCCCCAGAACCGTCACAGATCGATCTGGCTCGAAAAATGCCGCAGAAGCATGGGGGTCTAGGGATCTGGTCCCGACTTGTCACGCCGTGGCAATTCGCTTCGCAGCGTCGGATCTCAGGGGGGGGGGCGGGGGGGCGGCGGGGGGGAAGAGGCAGAGGGGGAGGAGGGAGGAAGGGAGGCCAGAGGGGCGGAGGAGGAGGAGGAGGAGGAGGAGGAGGAGGAGGAGGAAGAGGAGGGATAGGGCACGAGGAGGCACGAGGATAGGAAGAAGGAGGATAGGAAGGGTAAGGGGGATGGAGGAGGGACGAGAGAGGGATGAGAGAAGGATGGAGGAAAGGAGGAGAGAAGGAGGAGGAGGCGGAGGAGGAGAAGGACCAGAATAAACCCAAGACCATCACCTCTCTGACTCTGGATTCCATTACGCCAATTCCTCTCAAACTGAATTACTTGACAATTCTGGTTTGGATTGTCCGGTGGTTCGAAATCCTTTCTATCTCAGAATTATAACAAATAACAGATTCTCAAACTCGTGGGCTTCAATATGTCAAATTCTACCCAACTCACAGATCTAGAACATCTGGTTCGATATGTGATCCGGAATCCTCTCTAAATCTGGATTCGAGTGAACAAAAAACTCTTTAACTGGAGATTTCAACACGTCAAGTCCGTTCCATCTCAATTATCTGGCAATTCTGGTTTGATTTGCTCTGCGATCCAGAATTATGTCTACTCTTGGATTCTCACAAGGGAATTCTTCTCTAACTCCTGGATCTCCAAGACTAAATTTCTCAACAACTCAATTATCTGGCAATTCTGGTTTGAATCGCTCTGTGTGTGGGTCGGAAATCTCTCAAACTATGAATTCTCATAAAGATCAGCCAGCTTTGCCTCCAAATAGATTAGACGATTCAAATCAAAGAATCAGGGGAATCGAGCATGCTTGGAATCCGCAACTCAGCAAGCAAGCAAGCAAGCAAGCAAGCGCGCAAGCAAGCAAGCAAGCAAGCAAGCAAGCATGCAAGCGCGCAAGCAAGCAAGCAAGCAAGCAAGCAAGCAAGCGCGCGAGCAAGCAAGCAAGCAAGCAAGCATACACAAGGGGGGGTGCCATTGGAAAAAGGCGGGGGGGGGATAGGCATAGGCATAGGCTTAGGAATTAGGGGGGGCATAGGAATTAGGGGGGCAACAAACCAATTAGTAGGGTTGAGCTAGGACTCCTATAGGGCAAGCCTGTTTGGAGAATGAAAGCCTCCCTAATTCTGGATTTCAATGCGTAAATTTCTCTCCAACGCAATGATCTGGCAATTCTAGTTTGAATTACTCAGTGATTTCGCAATGCTGGCTTGACTTGCCTAACTCAAAACCCCTAGAATGCGCAATTACCTTATACAAGAATTGAAACAGCGTTCTGGTGTTTGCTGCTGCAGTCGCAGGACGCAACGGCGCAGCAGCCGGCAGAACCGAACCAGCCGAAAGCAGCCAACCGAACCGAACTGGAGGAGGACAAGAGGAGAAGGAGAACAGGAGGAGGACTAGGCGAGCTATGTTCAATGGAAAAATAATCCAATCCAAAAAGAATCCCTGCACAACCCCCCGGACAAACAGGACAACCCACGCTGCTTAATGACGACAGGACGGCCTACCCAAGACAACCCCTTGGACAACCAAGCGGGAATCTGGACAACCCCACTCGGACGACCCCCCTTGGACAAGCCTCCCCGGGATGCTCTCCCATGAGTTCCGGCAGGAGAGCTGCCTCCTTCCGAAGAGGCGGGCCCGGGGACAGGAGGAGCAGGAGGAGGAGCGGGGGAGGCGAAGGAGGAGCAGCACGGGGAGACGGAAGGGCACAGGAGGAGGGCGACGACGGCGGAGGGGACGAGGAGGGGAGCCGGGGGAGCTCTGCGCCGCGAGGGCGGGGGGCGGGGCGGGGCGTCGGACGCGGCCGTGCCCCCGCGCGGGGAGGAGGGGGGATCGCCTGCGGGGCGCCAGGCTCCGCGGGCGGGCGGGGCACGGTGGCTTTTTTCAGGGCAGATCT